TGCGTAAAACCTAAACGTATTCCGTGACTAACCTATAATACAGTTAGTGTCTGATCTGATTAGATCTTTTTAGTTCCAATGCTTTACTTACTTGAGCCCCTTGGCAGTAACTGCACATTTGGAGTCTTGCTGGCACGGGTTTAACTCAGGTGAGCAATGATCAACCACCTCCTCACACAGATCACCTATAGAGACAGAGAACAGGGTCACACCTGGGTCAGGATGCAACTCATACACAACATCCACAACATGCTTCTGACAGCTTTGGAGCAACAGTGGCTCTGTGTGTAGCACTCTCACCCTTTGATCTAAGTGGTTCTGGGTTCAAATCTCACTCCAGTAACCTGAGTATAACACGTAGGTAAATGCTTGCTTACTCAGCACTGAGGGAGTGCTGTACTGTCAGATAGACTGTTATTCCAAAGCAGGTGACGAACTAGAGTCCTGTTTACACTCTTTGGTCTAAGTATGTTGAAGCAGAGGATTTATTCCTCAACCAACATCTTTAAGAATTGATAATCACCAACACATTGCTGTTTCTGGGATCATACTGTGTACAAATTGGTTGCTACATTGCTGCAGTGAAAGAAGAAGTACTGAATTGGCTGTAAAACACTTTTTGACATATGAAGATTGCAAAAGATGCTGTGGAAATGCAACCTTCTTTGTTCTTTGAAAGCGCCCCTTCTCTCACAAAACTTTATTTGCAACAGCTTCCTTGAATTAGTCATCACTCTGGGGTTACACCTTGGGGTTGTAGGTTCTGTGTACTTGGCACAGCCTGAGTTTAGAAGTGTGAAGTGTGATCTAATTGAAACATCTCAGATTCCCGAAGGGATTGTCAGGGTGGATACTGAGAAGATGTGATCCTCCCAACAACCTGTCCCTTGTCAGAAGATCAGAGAACCTGGGGACACAGACTCAGGGTAAAGGGGGCAGACTGAGGACTGAGATCAGGGGGATATTTCTTCACCGATGCAGCTGTGAATCTTCAGATTCTCTCTCCTCTCAGCACAACCAAGAGCGAGTCGAGGAGTATGCTCCTGATTGACATTGCAGAGTTTTGGGAATGAAAAGATAAAGGAACAGAGTGGGAAGGTGAAGGTAGAAGCTCAGTCGTGATCTTACTGAATAGCACAGCAGCTTGATGGGCCAAATGGCTATTTCTGATGTGATTATGAGAAATAATGTGAATAAGAGTGAGAGCGAGAAATCTCTTAGAGAATCCGCCCTGCTGTCTCAGTGCTGATGGTGAGGGAATCGTGTGTTTAATTTCCTGGACAGAGAGAGCTACTGATCCAGCACATCTACTGGTTCCTGAGCCAGCTTTCCTCATCTCTTAATTCTTAATTAGCAGTCTGCTGCTGGAGATGACTAATGTCTAATTGAAGGGAATTGCTAATTTGTAATTATTCAAACCAAGCCTTTGTGCAGAGTTGGATGCAGCAATCAGCATGTAGCAGGGGAGACAATATTCTGCACAAAGCCAACATTCACAGGTGCTGCACACAATTGTTTACCCACACAGTGGATATCACTGGTCTGAAATGTTCACCTCCCACCCTCCAAATCAACTCCATCCTTGTATCCCACACCGCGAGTGGAAATGCTGCCTCAGTGGGTAGTGCTCTCTCATTGCTGTGTTAAAACTTGCGGGTTCAAACCAGCCCCACTCCAGGGACAAAAACAGAAGTTGCTGGAAAAGCTCAGCAGGTCTGGCAGCACCCGTGAAGAGAAATCGGAGTTAATGTTTCGGGTCCAGTGATCCTTCGTCAGAAGTGCAGAGACATTGATGCTCCTGCTGCAGGATTGAAGGGGTGCTGCATTTCCACAGGCATTGTCTTTCAGCTGAAGGGTTGAAGACAGGTCCTGCCTGCCCAATCAGGTGGGTGACCCATTGGAAGGTGAGCAGGGATACATCTGGGAAAAACACAGAAAAATAGCTGGGGAAGTGCAGCAGGTCTGGCAGCATCCGTGAAGAGAGTTAACAGAGTTTTTAAGAAAGGTGTTATTACATCTGGACTCCTCAACCAATTTTTGGCCCTTAGCCCATATCATAAAAATATCTTTGCTCATTATCTCACTGGTGTGTGTATCTGTATGTGAGAGAGAGAGAGTGTGTGCATGTGTGTGTGTCTGTCTCGAAGGAGTGTGTATCTGTGTGCGTGTGTGTGTGTCTGTGTCAAGGGAGTGTGTATCTGTGTGTGTGTGAGAGTGTGTGTGTGAGTGTGTGTGTGTGTGTGAGAGTGTGTGTGTGTGTGTGAGAGAGAGAGAGTGTGTGTGTGTGTGTGTGTGTGTGTGTGAGAGAGAGAGTGTGTGTGTGTGTGTGAGAGAAAGAGTGTGTGTATATATGTGTGAGAAAGAGAGTGAGAGAGAGTGTGCGCGCATGCATGTGTGTGTGTCTGTGTATGTGAGTGTATCTGTATGTGAAGAAAGTGTGTGTGTGTATGTGTGTATATAAGTGTGTGTGTGTCTGAGTGTTTGTGTGAGCTTGCTGTGAGTAAATTGGTAGCTGCCTGTCCTACATTGTGGTAGTGATTATACTTCATAAGCACTTAAATGACTGTCAAGAGCTTTCAGATGTTCTGAGATTGGGAAAGGTGCTACAGAAATGCAGCTCTTTCTTTAGTAGCCTGTAGCCAAGGCCGGTCAGTCTTGCTAGGTAACTGCCTGTACCTGTGTGATGTGGGGGACACAGGCAGGTGTAGTTACTGATTCCATCCAAACAGGTAGCACCATTTCTACAAGCGTTTTCTTCACAGTCATCAATATTGGTAGCACAGGTGTTCCCCTGGAAACCGTCTGGGCAGGTACACCTGTCAGAGGAACAAGACGATGAAACTAAAGTTCGCTCAAAGACACTCACTCCTTCCCAACAGAAAAAAAACCTCATCCCAGTCTGTCCAGTTGTCGTTTAATCCAACTTGACGACAGAGAGTGAACGCCACTGCCCTATTTAACCAGTCCCCAGTGACTTCAGTCTCTGCCACCTCCAGCCTGGTACTGAGGGAATGCTGCACTGTCAGAGGGTCAGTGCTGAGGGAGCGCCGCACTGTCGGAGGGTCAGTACTGAGGGAGCGCCGCACTGTCAGAGGGTCAGTACTGAGGGAGCGCCGCACTGTCAGAGGGTCAGTACTGAGGGAGTGCCGCACTGTCAGAGGGTCAGT